CCCCTAAAAGATGTCCACGTATTGCATAGGTGGTGTCCTACGTCCGCAAGCAAGCAGGCGAGCACTTTCCATCGCTAAAGAAAACAACTCGATCAATCAACAACCACCACAGACAGTGTAATAATCTTTATTATTTTAGTCAACGAACAAAACTTTTTATATGGTATATAAAAGCGACGAGGCGAATAATATGTGAAATAAAATCAGATGAGAAGAGAAAACAAATCAAATCGAATGAACAATTAAAACTGAAAAATGTTCCAACAAACAACAGAAATAAAAACACAAACGAACAAATGAACAACGAGAAATTAATAATTAACATCGTAAAACAAGTGGTAATACAACATGCACACACATCGATCGTTAATGACGACGATGTGATGATCACTGATTATTATTACTATGAAGAAGATGCAATCAAAAGAGAGAATGATAAATTATAGTAGCGCATTCGACTGAACGGTTCAGTGATGAGAGCGGTGCACACATAGACACACANCCATCGCCATCACTGCCACGATCTGCTCTATGCACATCCATATCAGTATCGGTATCAGTTTCAAATCCAAACTACGATCAACAATGCATCAAATTAGGCAATTACAGTAAAACTGGATAACATCCGATCATTACAATAATAATAATAATAATATATATATTTGCGACAATGTCGACAGTAATGATGATAGTATTGATATAACGCACATTCACTAACAAACGATACACGCACACATATCAACAGCACATTTACATATGTGTACGCGAATCGGTTGGATCACAGCCGAGTTGTGGTGCTCCAAGGAGTGCAGTGGGAGAAATGTGTACGATTTATTTATGGCTGCGTGGATCGTCATGTTTTCCAGGAACAACTGGATGACTGGCCAATATATTCAAAAAAAAAAAGACGACCTCGGCTATGCGCTGAATACCACCACACATCACTGCATTATGCACGGCAAATTGCATTATTGTTCACAACACCACATTAGAGGCGTGTAATCTAAATGAAGACAGCAATGGTGCTAACGCAAAAACATGAATGAATATGACGGATAAATATGAGACAGAGAGAATGGGACAGAGACCGTTTAATGCGGAGAATTTTTGAAATGACGATTCGAGGAAAAACTCTTAGATTGTGGTGATGCACTCGAGTAAAATTCAGAATTAGCAATGAACCAGATGGAAGGATTGAAAACGGACAATATTGAGCTTTGACCGAATGACGAATGAGTGTACAAATGCAAATCAACAAAACAATGACATCTCAATGAAAAGTTGATAGTGATTCGAACGATTATCCGAGTCAATTGTGAGGATTTCANAATGAACAAAACAATGACATCTCAATCAAAAGTTGATAGTGATTCGAACGATTATCCGAGTCAATTAAGAGGATTTCAACAAAAACCTTTTGGGAACTGACTTACTGAAAAGGGGAGTAAGGAGCAGGAATGGGTGGCTGTCACAACTGCACATTCGTCATTCTTCAAGAACAAACACGTGACAGTTACATAAGTCACATGCTGAAACAAAACGGAACGAAACATAATGAATTCATCAACTCATCAATAGACATGGAGAAGAAGAGATGGATAATTGACACAACAATGGTATAAGACTGAAACAAGTTTGTTTGTAAACGCTGTACGGAACTGATGAAACGAATGACGCTGGAGACGAGAACATGAACAGCTGAACTGAAAACAATAAGAGAAGATACCTAGTGCGAACAGCGCGATGACATTACAAAAGAACGATAACAGTAATTGCATTGCAAAAATGAACCTAACAAAACAGAAACAGCAACAATAAAAAGGCTGCAATGATGCTGATGCACCGAAGAGAACAACTGATACTTGTCAACAGCAATTTACGACGACTAAAAGCCGTGAACTTATGCGAATGAATCGGAAGAGACATTGATCTTCTGAAAAATTACAACAGACACTGAGGAGATTAGTGGTAGTGAAATATTACGAACGGTTCAATGGAGAAGCGAACAATTAATTCATCGCTGAAAACATTCATGATCAATTAATGGCTCGTTCGACGGCTCGACATTTTGAACTGATGACAGAAAACAATTCTAAAAACGCTTGATTGGGTGAGCAGGAGACGTGGTCCTTGCTGCAAACCGTTATCGCCAGTAGATGGTGGTTTTATCTATGAACGCATCATTGAAATGAAACAACACCATCCATCGTATCATTAATTATCCGAAACAACAATATTTACCAGCATATATGTCTGTTGTCCATTTTGAATGGCTAATGATACACAGACACAAGCATGGACACACAACAACGCCATCAGAATAATATGAAGTGAGGAAAGCTCCTAATCCAGAGTCAAGTCTTGATACCAAAAAACATTTGACGATGATACTACGAAACATCTGAAGTCTACTTGAAACAGAAAAACTGAGTTGAACAATATGTTCACAAGAAACTGATACGGATAAAATCTCCCAAAAATCTTCACGCTTCTCCTCAGATTCTTCGCCCCAACCCTTCAGGCATGATGACCATGTTGCGTGATAGAGCATGATCGTACACTGAAGAAGCAAATCTAAACCAAACGAAACCAAATCAAACGACCAGATAACAAAACACAAACGATCGTAATGCATTCAATATTCAATCAACAAATGATCACATGGTTCCCTTCTCTTTTATTTTTTTCCTTTGACCAATTCGAATGAACTCGGAAGTTTTTTTAAAACCAAAATTCACTCCGTAAAAAAGATTTAAAAAACGCAGAATCACACATCAACCACATCGAGTTTCATGCGAGGAGATAAAACTTGTCGAGAAATTTTGACAAGATGGAATATTCAACTGAAAAATTCACTCGAATCACTGTCAAAGTATAAGCAATTCGAGAAGGAAACCACATAACTAATGAAAAACGGTCGATAAATACGCGTGATTGAATCAAAAACATCAATTTGAAGACTCGCTTGTCGCATCCACCAAAATCGATTGCTGTTTAAAACGAAAGTTCGCTACGATGCTTCCTCTATTGCCATGCATAACCGTTCCATTGTGATCGATTCGCTGTAGCATGAGATAATAGTGCTGAATCATTGAGTGTTGTTGACATTGTTGTTCCGTGCGAGACGGCCGTGTTTTGCGTCGGAGGTCCATAGTTTGGGGGCAGTGGCCATCCACTGAAAACAAGACAAAACCATCGTGAAAAAGACCGAAACCAGCAAAATGAGTCAACAACAACAACAACAANNACGGCATGGTAGTTTGAAGAGCGTTAGTGACAATGATTCATGGTGTCTAGTTACCGTCGATTTTAATCATGTGGAAGTCACTATGTTTCTGGTGTTTATAACTGACAAACGCTTAGTTTGCCGTTGCACGCATAATTCAATTAGTTCCTCACTTAACATTTATCGAATGAAACATTCATTGTGCAAACTGAACAAGCAACCCACTCGCCAATTCCAATTCGTTCATGAACGAGCGAAATGACAATTAAAATTGTTGCCCTTAGTTGAGCAAACGAACTGTGAAAAAGAAGAACAACTATGAAAAATAAGAACACCCACCCAAAGAAAGGAGAACCACCGACAGGCGGCGGTGGTGGATTGTTGGGTTGTGTTGCTGTGGATGGAGGTGGAGGGACCTGAGTGCTGAAAAACGGTGGAGGTGGTATCGATGTGTTGAGGGCAGCCGTTCGAGTGCTGTGATACGGCGGTACGTTTGGCGCATTTGCAGCAAAATCGGTGGTAGTGTCTAGACGTGGATTGTTGCTTGTGCTGGCCGTGCTGCCTGTGTGCGGAGGTCGAACGTTCATATTGAACGAGTTCAGCAACATGCTCAAATTCTCAAATTCGTTCGATGCTGCCTGTGATGCCTGTAATGATCGTATACAATTCAAGAACATTTACATGCTTGATGAAGCGAGAACGAATTATATACAACTTTTACACTTTGCATTTCGGCAACGTGAAGAATTTAGATAATAAATTGATCAATTCAACGAGAAATCATTCAAGCTGAATTCCCGGCAAAAATGCAAAATAAATTTATCTCGTTATGTACGGTATATCGCCAATCAAAACCCAAACATGCGAATACAATATTCCTAATTAAACCCTCGATAACAATAATGATACTTCTGATACGGAAACGATGCTCATAAAAAGTCAACAATAACAATAATACTAATGCGCACAACCTGTACCTGCTGCAAATGTACACGATTATAGGGTTGCTGCTGCTGATGCTGTGACTGCTGAGTCTGCGCTTGATGATTCAAACCGGCAGCGTTGATCATCTGCTGATGATGATGGTCTTTATGATAGGCTGATTGATTGCTGGACGGATAGCCAATCGGAGTCGGTAATTGCGAGAACGGACCCGTTGAGAATTCACGACTGCACGAAACATCTGGCTGATTAACAGCCAATTGCATCGCCACCTCAAATTCAACACAAACTCATCGAGAGCAAATCACATATTCATACGACAAAAGCTCAATCAACGGAAACCGTTCACAATCAAATATTTCAAAAACAAAACAGCTACATCTACGGTTGCAGTGAGCACATAAAGAGAGTTCACTCACCTGATTGATCCACGTATTGTCTCGATCTGGAAACACAGACTGTGCAAGAGTTTGCGACGGACGTTGCATGCCGGCACTGGATGGCGGTTCAGTTCTCCACGGGAATGGTGGTTCTGAGGCGAACGCAGCAGCAGCAGCCGTTGAGGTACTTCTTGAATTGGCGTTTGGCTCTTGAACACTGCTGAATCCTCGTAACGTTGTGGCTGAAGTGCTTGATGCGCCAACATTGCCACTTCCCATCAAATCCTCTTCACCAATTGATCCTGCGGCGNCAAATGGGCACTGCTTCAATTCATAAATGTTTTTCAAAATCCATCCCTTCTCTTCCATTGTTTCAACCATTCCCATAATTTTCTTCTCGATCAAGCAGCAAACTGATTCATAAACAAACCATACCGTCCGTAAAATACTCAAACGATCAATAAATGCAAACCGACATCAAACATCAAAGTTCAATAATAACAACAACTATTCAGTTGAATCAAAAGAGTCATAAATTGGATACTGAGGATAATCAAACGTACATGTGCCCTGAGTTGTGCAATATTATGCGCTAATTCCAGTGATTCATTACGAACCGCTGCTGAGGACAAGTCTCCGTGATCGTTCAACATTCCGAGCGACGAATGCGACGTGGATGCACCTAAAAGACCAACACCTCCGGCCGACGTTACCGATGGACCGACGCCCATCCCGACCACCGGGTTGTTCGCATTACTCCAAGTAGCTGATGAGCTCACACCACTAGCGTTCGCTGCCATTACGTTGTATTCAGGCCAAAGTTTCGCTAGCGGATCAATCGCCGTCGAAGTAGTGACACCGACTCGACGCTACAACATCAACAATAAGAATATCGTTTACAACTAGCAATCAAAAGAAATGGTTATGATAACAGTAACAACGTTACACACTTATCGATGAATGCAGCGAAAAAGAATGGCTAACTAACCGTCAAAAAAGCACTTTCAGGGAGTGTACTTGAAACAACCGAAGAATCACCAGCACCAAGAATCGAACTTGCAACTGTTTTCTTCGTTGGTGTCATACCACCAATGTCACCGAATCCCAGATTTCCTAAACAAATCGTTTAGCGTATCGGTTGGAAAGACACACAATTTCTGCGAACTCACAAAGAAAGAAAGCTTTCAAGTTTAAATTTCTAAAACAACGAATACATCAGCACAGTTCACTACTCCAGCTATATTTATTTCACTGGTTTTCGCACATTCCATCATCCATTTCCAATAATTTCTTTTTGCTCAGTCTTACTTGATCCCTAACTCCATACTTAATACAATTGGAAACAATGAAGTTACGATCAGCCATATACTAAAATGTAACAACAAAAAGCGCAGATCGCGAACAATTCAAATCACTAACCACTAATTGGTGGCGGTACGCTTGATCCTAGCACACGTGAGAAGTCGTTCACTGTCTCCACGCTGAAAAGAGGAACACAATTCAGAACATACTGAAATATTTCGAATCAATCACGCATTTCAAACAGCGTATTGAATACAGGCAACATACGTCATTTATCTCGTATCGTTTCAAATCAGACAAATTTCATAACGCACAAAAACATTCACAACAAACATCAACTAAATAAAGTAGCTTATTACAAACAAATTTCTAGGATCTGATAATTTGATCGCATTTTTCACAATGAACCAATTAAGGGCACAGTGCTTATGACTACTCATCAAGTTATAGTTTTATCAGTAGTCGATGAGCGTTTAGGCATATAACATACCTGACAGGAGGCTTGATGACACCAGGTCCTGATAAATTGGGCATGACTTTAGTCGCTGCAGATCCGCCATTTGTAAGTGTTGACAGCGGAGGAGACACACCTGTAATTATTGATACTAAGGATCCAACAAGAAATTGTTCGCTGATTGATTTACAGAGGTGAACTGAAAGTGTTTAAGAACTAGGTACTAGCACTCACCTGCTGATGACATTGGGCTGCTAGGCGTTGAGCCAGGCGAAGGTCTTGTGCCCGGTGCCTTCGAAAATGTAGCAACCGATTCAGGTTTCATTTGCATAATATCCTTAAGAAGAAACCGTACGAGATTACAGACAATGAATTAACTGATCAAACAAATCACTGTGTTTGCGTTCATGTATTACTGAACCAATAATTCACTAGATGTTTCAAATGAAATTTTCTATGTAAACACACATAAACCTACAACAATTGTAGGCTCATAAACGTGTCAAACAGATCAGATCATTTGAGACAGTTCGCCTAGGACACATGAATATAATTTCGGTGAAAATGCTCACTATTCCATGCCTAACAATGCCATAAATTTCTGGCCAAGGCTACCACACACCTGGATTGGTCAGGCTATTAAACGTCGTTTGTAACGTTGCTGGCGGCCACAATGCCATTATTTTAGCTTCAACTGCACTTTGATGCAAAAAAATGTTTTAGCCTCAATACCCACACACGTTGATGCAAACAGAAAAAAAAANAAAAAAAAAACGAAAAGAGAACAAATCCGAAAAGAAAAATCGAAAACAGAAAATCACTCTCAGTCAATCAAACGAATCAAGCGAGCAATCAAAATACCTTTTCACATTTTTTCGCACGCTCACCAATCGTTCCAACGTCGGCTGACGGCAGCACCGGTACAGGTAAATCTATGACGGCTGTTTGTGCCAATTGATTATTCTCGCACTTTGATGTCGTTGTTTGCTGCTGCGATTGCTGCTGCTGCTGTTGCAACTGATTCAAATGCACTATATCACCACCACCACCAGCAGTAGCAGCACCAATGCCCTGCTGCATCGTGCTCCCAGTTGCCATTTGTTGAAGCGATGAACATGCAGCCGCCTTTAGTTTCTTTTCGGAACCAATTGCGCTAACCAATTTCTGACGTTGTGCAGCTCGCTGTGCCCAAACGTTGGTTGGTGTCTGGGCAGCGGCAGCAGCATTAGTTGGTGTTGTTGCCGTTGCTGATGTTGTTGCAGCCACAGGGACGACGTTCTTCTTTGGAGCATTCAATGACGACGACGACACATCCGATGATGACAACGCGTTCAGTGCGGTCGTTGTTGGTGAAGTTGTGGCACTCGGGCACGAGGCGGCCGTTTGCGGAGCTGAAGTGGAACTGGCACACGACTGTTGTTGTGCTGACTGAGACTGCTGCTGTTGCTGCATCGAACCCTTCTTGCTGCCAACTGCCAACTGAGCCGAACATGCAACTGCATTTGATGGCGTCACGATGCTCGACGACGAATAAATCGTCGTCGGCAAACGACTACTGCCGCCGCCGCCGCCCGACGTCGTCAGTTCTTCGGCCAACGACGACGATGCAGACGAGTTACCGGCCGATGAGGTGACACGACGAATCACATCGCTCACCGTGCATTCACTATCAACGATCAACCCATTGATCATCTCCATTGCTTGCCTACAAACACAGCCAACACTCATTCGACGAATTCCACAAGACAAACCAACACAAACACGCCAGTTCCCCACCTCTATAAGCTCCCTACAACCTTTCTCATTCAAAAGTTTTCAGCGAAATTTGAACACATCACATTGTTTCGTTTCATTGTCATTTTGCAACAATGTCTTACAAAACGTAACGAATCAGTGGTCACTGCCTAGAAAAATCAGTAGCAGCAACTTAGAAACTGAACGGGTCGAATAGGCTTACGGGATTGGATACGGAATAGAATTTTACAACGAGCCATTAATGACATCTTCAAATGGTTCGGTGACCAGCAAATTCAGTAGACTGATCTTGAATTCGCTCTCTAATAATCAAAAAAAAAACAACAACAACTGTACAATCAGAACTGTAGAAGATTCACTGAACCCTGTCCAGACAAAACATTCTCGGTGATGGATGCAACTAACCTCAATGCCGTTTCAGAGCCTTTGATAGTGATCTGTCGATCGTGTTGTTCCTTTTTGCCACTTTGTTTCTCAACCTCGATGTAAGCACCGGTTGCCTCTCGTATTGCATTGATATTACCACCGGCACGACCAATCACACGTGCGATTAGGTTTGACGATACGGAAAGGCGTGATGAACGCCTTTTAGCCTTCAACACAGAGAGCAATGAGTGCATTCCAACTATCAACGAGAAAAATGATAGGAAAAGTGTGAAATTTAATACTGGAAGAATAATTCGAACGTGAACACAACATCAGATAGATTCGAGCATAAAAATAAATAATCACTGAATACAAGATAAATGAGACGGATCAACAATTCAGAACTCGAAGACTATTCTGAACATACACATTCATATGATTGAGATAATAAGCTTGGGCAAGGTACAAAAATATGCGGTCAGCATTCAACGAAAATGCAAATGAAGCACTGTTAAACTTAGGAAATAAACGCACAAATGTGACCAAAAAATGACTGAATATCAGTGAACCATACCACATCAACATGTCTCCAAGCGTTCATATTCGAAATACTATTCGATTCTTGATTTGCCGACGCCACAGCGCCACCACCAGCGATACTTCCTCCAGCAAAAGTGCTCGATGACTTCAACGAACCTCCTCGAGTGCCCTCAAAAGAAATGCGTTCAGTTCAATCAACTCACATACAGCATACAACTCACAGATAACTTTCTGTCAGTTTACGTTGCAAATTACTATCAGCCGCAATAAATAGAACACATCGATACGTTCGAACAAACTCGTAGTCATCTGCGCTTGACTGTTACTCGAAGAGAAATAAATCACTCAAGCAAGGGTGTTCGAATGAGTGTTCGTCGATGTGAAAATCACAAAAGACCACGAACATGTTGAATATGTTTTAATGAACGTAATAAACCGTGCTTCCTTCCGCTCATAACTGCTCAGCTTACCCGTGGCCGTCATCAACGACAACGATGAAATTCTCTCACTTGTGAGCACTCTCACATCTGACAGATGTTTGAGATGGATTGTTTTCTTTTTTTTTGGCCGAACGGATTATGACAGCCGTTTAATTGAGATGTTGTGACAAAAACCTTCGTGGTCTACATCGAAGGAATTGCGCATAAAGTCAACGTATTACGAAAAAAAAAAGAGTTGCCCTTCAACTGCTCACCTCTTTTCTACGTGAAGTCGCCTTCATCCATTCCGTCTCTGAGGTCGACGCATTGCTTTGTTTTGTGGAAGAGGGCAGTTTTGATGCACTGCTGCTTCCACTGTTTGCTTTCACTGCAATATTTCCACGGAATTTAGGCGTATTTTTTTCACATTTTCAATCAATCAATCAATCGGTGTTCAATACTGTAATCGACTACTTCACTATCCGCTTATGCATTCGTTATTTCTCCATCTGATCTCCAATTCCATGCGGGTAGACATCGCAAACTTCGTCAGTCATAAGAATAAGAGTAAATTTTGCTCATTCAACCACTACCCTCCACACTAGTTTTTCTCATTGTGAACAATAATCAACCGATTCTGATTCAGTTCCTTCAAACAATGCTCTCATCTTCTTACTATCTATCTGCCCAGGGAATTTTCACTAAAAAATTTTATCGAACTCTCCCAAGCAACTCAAAATACAAACAAACCATTTCCACTCTCGTTACGATTTCGGTGTCTAGCCGATTTGGCGGTATTTGTGTTGTTGTTGATATTCGAATGTGCTAGTGAGGTCCTGGCCGTGGTTGATGATTGAGCGTGTGCATGTGATGAGAACTGTTGTTGATGATGTGCACCAGCAACTGAGTGATGATTCATCGAATCCTCACAAGGTGACGATAACGACACATTGGTGCCACTTGTTAATGGCACTGACGGTACTGATGGCACACGTTCCAACTGCTCTGACTGCAACTTCAAAAATTCACTCTACTCTCTCTATTGTTTATATCGCCATCGTCCCTATTCTTCTTATTATCAGCTTACAGTGATCATTAGTGGCACGACGATCATCAGTACACTGATTAGTAATAGATAGCAGTGATCGCTGAGATATCATCGTCATGATCACTTTCACTACGATCAGATCAACACAATCAATCGTTCATTCACCAATGACGACACATTCCCACTACTCGTGTACTTTTACGCATGAGAGTGATAATAAGAGTAATTAAATGAAAGTACAAAAATAATCAGTTGCACACAAACAGCATCGTCAACACTCGAGCAGTTCATTTGGACAGTTCAGCCAGCCTACCCGATCATTATA